TCAGCGAGAGTACGGGGAGGGAGCGGGCCCCACCGATATTGACAGACAACAGCTTCGTGGCATCTGACCGAACACTAAATTACATGCTCGATGGTTATCTATGGTAGGTTTCTATGTTGATCTCACTATCTGCATTCAAAAGCTCATCATTCAAGACTGCATAACACACGGGCACAAGAGCACAAACACTGATGGTTGAGTTTTGTAGATGTGCGATATTTGATATTAAGCTAAGAAAAAATGTAAAATATCGGCAACACAAAGTGCCAAGATAGAGAATATACGGAGAAGATTTAGACGTACGAACATTTCGTAACCAATTAAGAATGCAATCAATTTGCAGCCGTAGTAAGACATGCAACATCTCCATGCTCAAGAGTGGCGGCCCACCTTTTCGATGGTCATTCCTTCGTGCGGACTGAGAAATGTTGTATCTCGTCCGCAAACTGGTCCATTGCCCCATTCGAAGATGGTATCCATGGTCAGATCGACCTTTCTTCTCTGTCGAACTCCCTGCGCATCATGTCATTGTCAGATTCGAGACCTTCTCGTCGAACTCCCTGCGGCATCGTTTGTCATGAAGAGTCAATCGACCTTCTCGTCGAACTCCACTGCGGCATCGTGTCATTGTCAGATCGACCTTCTCGTCGAAACCCCTGCGGCATCGTGTCATGTCAGATCAACCTTCTCGTCGAACTCGCTGCGGCATCGTGTCACTGTTTCACTATCTGGAAGCGACCACGCACTATATAAACACGACCACGATATGACACCAAGCCTCACGGACCTTCCATCGTTCAGAAGGACGCTGAGGACATATGGATGTTCTTGATCTTCCTGTACGCGGCCACCATAAGGTGAAAGGGACAGTGCCTACCAGTGGGGAACCGGATCTCCTTCTAAGGCACCATGGCCAGATTACCAACACAATTATCAACAGCTGGGGACAATCTGTGTGAGCACATTTGCACCGAAATCGAGAACGTCATTTATCTCTGATACTGCATGTTTCATAAGATCTTATTACTCAATTGATATTACTTGAAGTTAACCTGTTCATTACTCAGCAAGGCTAGCTAGTTCACTAGCTAAAGGAACCAAAGTTTTGCCTCGACTATGGTCAATAGACAGTATAAAACATCAAATAATGACCAAGCACGCCAATGCAGGTGGCTCATGGTCTCCATCCACTGTGGCCATGAGCTACCTGCATGGTGCTATGGTCATTGAGTTATTGTTTTCGGCCACAAACGCATCCGAGCCGTTTGGCCACAAAATGAGCACCAAGAATAATTCGCGATCCGATTATCCGGTTCGATATCCGGTCCCGTGTGAGTGCGGTGCCCGCCGTTCTTGCCAGGGCGAGAGGCAGGCGACGCCATAAAGACTTATATTCGCTCCGAGCAGCTTCGGTGAACTCGCGGCAGCATTCCAGCTATAGCGGTCGGCAGAATGTGGCAGAGACCGCTAGCCTGCTCCATTCTCGACAGCATTAATCCAAGCACGTTCTTGGGGAGAAGTTGCACATGTATGTAGAACAGAGGGGACGAGGGCGGGACCATGCAACTACAGACACAGCTTGATGTGCGATTCGGAGCGCGAAAGTACAAGTTCACATCAATCACCCGAGTCGACAGAGGCTACGCATCCAACTGCATGCTATCCTCCAGGCCAGCTCTCTGGCTATAGCATCGACTTAACCAAATTTGAGGCCGATTGCCATGGTATGGGGAGCTGTTGTTAACCAAATGTGAGGCCGTCTGCCATGGTATGGTGGAGCTGTTTGTTAACCAAATGTGAGGCCGTCTGCCATGGTATGGTGGAGCTGTTTGTTAACCAAATGTGAGGCCGTCTGCCATGGTACAGTGGAGCTGTTCATTATGCCTTAGCAATGGTATCCATACAGCCCGGTGCCGCTGTTCAGCCTGAGCGGCACAAGCGAGGTGACGACCACCTGGCCGTCTTGAGCTGGCTCTGTCATGCTGCTCCGTTTGTCGATGAGGAGCCGGATCTCCTCCCAATGACGGGCCCGCAGTGCCACGCTCCTAACGTCGCTGACGAGTTGCGGCACCCCGGTCCATCGGTTACCTGCCGATGAGGAGCCGGATCTCCTCCCAATGTCGGGGCCGCGGTGTCACGCTCCTAACGTCACTAACGATAGCGGCACCCCGGTCCATCGGTCACCTGCCAATGAGGAGCCGGATCTCCTCCCAGTGACGGGCCTGCAGTGTCACGCTCCTAACGTCACTGACGAGTTGCGGCACCCCGGTCCATCGGTTACCTGCTGAGGAGCCGGATCTCCTCCCAATGTCGGGTCCGCAGTGTCACCACGCTCCTAACGTCACTGACGAGAGGCAGCACCCCGGTCCATCGGTTACCTGCCGATGAGGAGCCGGATCTCCTCCCAGTGACGGGGCCGCAGCGCCGCGTTCTTCAAGTCCATAATGAGTGGCAGCGCTCGGCGGAAGGCGTCCACACGCGCCTTGCTCTGTTCGATGATGTCCCAGCCATTGTCGCGGAACTCCTTCAGCTGTTTTGTAAAGCGCTTGTGCACGCTCGTGGCCTGGGAGAATGAAACTGCATGGTGAGCATCCACTTACCAACCAGCTCACGAGAACTGTTTTCCAATTCTCATGACGTATTTTCCACAGCACGCAGGTAAGGAACCGCCCCGACCTTGGTCGGGCTCCCGGCCTAGATCGTAACAACGACTAACCAGCTCCAACGCACAATGCTTAACGACGCTAGAGCACTGTTTGACCACTAATACAGGAGTGCACACCATGGGCGGGCTAGGCAAACCAGTCCGATGCATGACCCTGAGGCATCTCCGCATTCGCACGTCGGTCCTACACACAAGCATTGTTTTCGCGCGGTGGTTCAGTTCAGTTAGAAGTTTTTGCATTATAAGTAGTTATGTAAAGCAAGGACAATATCACTGCAAATGTATTAGCACGCGCCCAGATCGCCGGTTCTGAATGACGCGTTCGGATGATGGTCAATGTGCCCCCCCCCCCCCCCCCCCCCTCCCTCCCTAAGATCCCAATACTGGAAGTGCCGGACACCGAATTCGCAGGGAAAGGAGGCTTTGATGTGAATTCAACTGTGTGACATTGAGGTCCCAAGGTCTGAACTTTGTGCCATAAAGGGTCAAACAACATCAAACTTTAGTTCGGTGTCAGGTGTGCCCCAGACGTCCTATTGCAAGCACCTTAATATACATTTCATTTTAACGCAACCACTTTAATATGGCAATGTGCGTTTCCTCATTTCAATGCAAATGGAACTTTGGGTACGACGATGACGTGTAATTGCCCGGGGCCAAAACGCCATTACTGGTGTTAAAAACCCCCTACCCCGCCTAACATTGATAGGTCGAGGTCAGTGAAACATGGCAGCCAGCCATGTTTCAGCTCAGGACCAAGATCACTCTAACCCCCATCCTAGTACAGTGGGCG